CTGATTGTTATGAGTATTATCATAATCTATTGGAGTCCCCCATCCACCCCAGTGTTGTGATCCCTGCAAATTTAGGGGGCTAATGTTTCTTAGGACAATATTGTTTTCGTTATAAAAAAACAGAATATGCAAACCCCCCGGAATGAAAACTCCTGAAATCTAACAGGATTTATAAGGTCTACGGGCAGCTGCGTCAGTGCTTGGCTTGGGTGCTGTATTGGATTTGTCGCAAAATTTGGAAGTTTTCTCTAAAATTGAATATTGCAGAGGTCTGAAACTTAATCAACCCTTGACCTCTGATCTTTTCCCGAAAGGTCAAATGAAAAATCCCTACAGAGTGGCCATAGGGTTATTATGTTGGAATAACTGCTATATAGGAAGCCCCATGCGCTCTATCAAAAAATGTACTATTTTGTGGAAAGGGGTCAGCAACCACTGATAATCGCGTCTCGCAGGCAGATTTCTTTTCTTTTCTGTCTTCTAAAGCTTCATCCAGGCAGCACAGACAAAATAACGTATTCACTCAAGTGGTGGTTACTGTTATTACTTACAGACTTATTAGGTAGATGTCCCATCAGCAGATTAGTTTAGTAGTAATTGCAGGGCGGGCAGAAGACCGAGTGAACTAAATTACAGACGGGTATCCTCTAAGGCCATATACACTGGTGTTGGAGTACACTCTGAGTTCCCTGCAGCTGCTTAAATCATCTGCAGGTAGGACTTGTATCAGAGAGTTTACACCACGCACCCTGTCGTTACTGCTGTTATCTGGGATGTGCACCGAATGTAGATTTTGGGTGGAATAAAGAGTGGGAGGGAAAATATGTTTTTTGTGTTCCTTATAAAAGCATACAATCTCTTTGCAATCTTCTTATAAATATAAATGTTAACAAAACCCCCACAAGGCATTTAAATCTGAGCACCAAGAGGCAAACAAGAGACGTCAGTTTGGGCTTCAGTCCTGTTTTTCCAGTCCTGTGAGGATTGATGCCCAGACAGATATCCTTTGGGATCTCCTGCCACATCCTAGGGTTTTCTCTTTCAGTGGGTGGACTCGAATCAAATGGCCGAACATACTGTACGATCTAGCTAGGTAGAGAGAGACTGGTTTCAGAATCATTGGCCTACGTCAGATCCCAAATGCATTTTAAATTGGATTTGAACTTTGTAACATGTTGGGAAGAAAAGAGGAAACGGTCAGTTTCCTAAAACAAGACATTTTCTTAAATAAAAAATATTTTTTTCTTGAATTTACACTTGGTTGCTCATATGACAAAATGTACTAACAAAATGAATACAGCACAACTGAGAAGCTGACAGTCAGCGCTATACAAATGTTTTTTTCTCCCAATTTTCCATTCCCACCTTTTTGTCCAAGGCCTCATTTACATATGTTATGCTGGAGGGCAAATAAATTTGTCTCTACTGACATATGAGAACCTTCACATGTAGAGGACAAGGCAGCTTTGCTCAGCAACCAAAGACATAATGCCTTCAACATGGTATTTAAAGAAAATGTACCATACATATCCCAGCATTTGTCAAGCCTGCCACAAAAATGAATCTGCAAAAACGAAATCACGGCTGCCACCCTCTATCTGCTGTGCAAGGTAAACGTACTATTGACAGAGGTGTTTCTAAACAAGTGGTCCTGGTGAAAGGCTTGTATCTGTCTGGCGCACTTTGCCCTCAGTATAATCTGCAAGCCACTGCATGTAATCTTCATTTGCCGCCTCTCACAGTGCTGCTATTGATGGGGAGCTCCATCAAGTCTGGAGCGAGGGATCGATGCTGGGCTTTGAACAGCTGTGATGAATCGTGGAAGATAAGTTGCTTCAGCAGAACTGACAGCTGTTGTGATTGCTATCCTGGTTTAGCGAATACGTTTCACCCCCAAAAGAGGACAGAGAATATGATGTGTGTGCATGCAGTTTCTGAGAAGCAAGAAAATACAAAGAACATGGAGATGGTGGGGGATCCTGCAACTTATTGAGTTTTAAGGCATTTTTAATTTTATTATGCACGCAATGTGGAATCACCAATGTGTTCTTTCACCTCTCAGCTCACACACGCTCTCACTTACTGTACAGGGAGAGGATTGGTAGGCATGCTCCTCTCACCCACCAATCAATGAAAACATTAGTCTTTTGACACTTTCCAAGCTCAACGGTGCCTTGCTGGAGAGTTAGTACTGATTGGAGGAGAAGCAAGTCCCTCAATGACATCACTGCCAGCGCCAAGACAGACTAGTCCCAGCCCTCTGCCTATGGAATATACCACTGCTTTAGGAGCTGGCTTGGACAGGTCACTCATTTCCTTCTGAACAGGCAGCACTCTGAAAGTGCGTTTTGTTTGGATTCAACACAGTAAGTCTTAAAAGTCCTCACTGAAGAGCCTGTCCCACTCAAATAGAGATCAAGAGCTTATGTGTTCTGTTTCAAAACATAGTGCAGAAAGACTATGTTTTTATTCTACATGACTTTCATATATTAAATTAAATAAAAACCAAGCACTGATGCAACGACTGCATATTATTTTAAACATCACATTTGATTGTGGTTTAATTAGTACACATTTTTTTTGTCTTTTCTGTAACAAATTGGACACTGAGAATCTCTATAAGGTGTACAGGACTGTTACTCATTGGGATTGTAGCTGCAGACCCCTAGCCTACAGACACTTACAGTCCTGCACTGTGGTTTGAATAGGACATAACCAGCAAGGAGTGGACACTGAGGGAATGACCACAGACAGGGAAAAGTGGCACACAGGAGAAGGTTCTTCTGTTTAGAAATTTAGAGATGACCTCAGTTTGCAAATCTTGGATTTCAGTTAACACCGATGGGGAGGATAATTCAGAATATGGGCAGTTTTCTAATGGCTGACCAGTATCAGCAGAGCCAGATTCTCCACCCTGTGATTTATATGTGTTCTTCCCTGCAGACACCCCCTCCAGCCAGCCTGTTCGTTAATGCACAGCCAACCCTGTCAGGCAGAGGTGACAGCGAGCAATCACCAACTCCCCAAGAGAGAAACTCCAAGGGGTTCTCCTCAGCTGGCGATGCCACTGTTATTTCAATAGCTAAATAAAATCAAGGTGGGAACTGCAGCTGTTTTCTTGGGGCATGTTCAATAATCAATTATTTTGACAATTTGGTTTTTTGATGGTTTTGATGTCTGGATTGAGTTGCAATTGTTTTTTTTTCTTTTCCTTCAAAAGAAGTGTATTTCTGCTTTAGAAAAACATCAGTGCCTGGGAGAAAGAAACAAACACACAGATGTAGGTAATATTATTTTAAAACGGGTCCACTAATTGCTTCTCATTGTGTAAAAACATAAACAGAGGGCGAGGCTTACAATCTGTGAACTGAAAGCCCCTCAGTGTTAGAATGGTGGACAGGGGGAGAATCAGTCAGTGCCTCTGATACTATAGTCACATCGCAGTCCTAAGGCTGGCGACAGGAGCTGAGCTGAACAGGTGGTGATGATGACGCAGGTCTGCGAGAAACATGCAAGAACCACACAGCCATGTCAGGGGTCTGTCTACCTGCAGCAGAAACCTGTTTTTTTGTTGGCTGAACTGAATCTGCCACATGACTGCGCATCGGGAGACTGACTGGCACACTTCATTAGTCTCGAGTGCAAGGGCTGCAGCAGCACGGAGCCGCAGTATTGCGCTGTGTGAGGAGGACCAGGGTGGAAAACTCCCCTCCCACAGCTCAGCTGCTTTCTCCAAACCCGGCTCTCTGGGGTCAATTATTCTTGATATTTTGATTTGATTTTTTAATCTTACAGATTATACTAAAATTTACCAGAAATGAAAAGATTTGAAATAAAAAAACTAACAAAATTTACATTTTTATTATATACAGTAGGTCAGCACTAAAAATGATCTTATTTTATTATTTGTGAGTTTATATTTAAAGTGAGCAATTAAACACATTGATCATATTTGTTCCTTCAAGCCTAACTCACTGAGGTTTCCAAATAGTCAGCAACACAACTAAATTATTTCAAAAAGAATGTGAACTATTTAACTTTTTTTATTCATAAATGATATTGTGGTTTGTATGATTCACAAGGAAGGCAGTTAGGTGAGTCTAAAAAATCTTCACAATTTTATCACAGTAGAACAGGACGATGTTTAAATGGAGCTCACAAATGTGTCCTGTAAGCGTCTTTTCATTGTCTGAGAAAATTGTCTGCTGCTGAGAAATGGCAAACAAAATGAACTGAAAAAAAAGATTTCCTTTCAGTGGACTGAAAAGCACTGCATCATTATACATTTTTCTGAAGCAGCAACAAGGTGATGAAAAGAGATTCTGGGAACCATGTTTTTTTAAAGGTGTGTTTGTAAGTCTGTGGAGAAGAAAGAGCTTGCCCTACTACTAGTGCTGCATTTGACTACAGTGACAAATGGGAACAGTTATTCTATTGATTATCACACAGTGGCTAATGCAGATATCAGCATTTTATTCAAAATCGGTTTGTGTTTGTAGCCTTTCTATCTGCATCTCGGTCAGACTTTAGGAAAATTGCTCGTGTTCTAACTAGGCAACATGCTCATACATTTTTATGAATAGTCTACAGTTTTCAGACCATCTAGCACAGAGCTCTTCAAACTTGTAAAATAATACAAAGGTACAGCTATAGTAAACGGCACATAGTTTGTATCAGGTAATATGACTTAGAAGATCTCTCTCCTTAAAAAGGGCAGTGGTCCAAAATAGTGGAATACTCACACACTACTCCTGTGACTGGGTAATATTGTGTGGTTCAATAACAGCCCTAACTACCTACAGCTGGCCAGACTAGACCAAGAGCAGCTCAGACAGCAACATATGGAGCCAGCAGCCTAATGTCAACTTGGATACATGTCACATACAGTAGCAAGGTAAAGCAAAGAACACTGTATGGGCCCCCAGTAACGCCCATGCTCAAAATCCACAGTGTTGGCCTCATTCTGGGTCAACACAATTTCAATTTCATGCCTACTGTACCTTGGCCTTGTTGATGCTGCAGTGAAGGGCATTGTTTTCTTGGTCATACAGCAGACTGAAGTCCAAAGTCCCCAGGGTTGCTGTAAAAGACAAAGAGAGGAGATAAGGGATCTATCTCAATTAGAAAAGAGCGAACGGAAGGCTTCTCGAGCTGTCATTCAGCCACTGTGGAAACTGGAGATTTTTTAAAGAAAGCCTGGATGAACCACAGTAAAACTCAGTCTTGTTTAAGGATGATTTCTTTTTCTTTCATGCTCACAATGCTTTGCTACAGTGTTCAATTTGCAGAATATCAAACCTTAAGAAAAACACAATATACTGTATGTATAGATTTAATTGTCAAACTGTCTGTTTCACACTTTCACTGCCATGATTCCAAGCTCAATATACTCAATATAATTTATTTTGTATTTTGTTTTCTGCTTTGAACTGAAGATGGCATTAATTCAATAAATACTCTAGCACGTCTCCTTAACAGCTTTGGGTACAGAAAGGCTGTAGCGTCTTGTAACAGCATTAACAGACACCTCTGGGATTAAACAAGGTTGTGTTTCAATTACTGTTATTGAAGGAGCTGTGACTGTTTAGTAACATCTGACTTCAAAGTACTTCCAATTACAGAGTATTTACAAAGTAATTACTCAGTAAATTCATACAAAGCTATTCATTATTACAATGACATGCAGATTCCACAGAGTTCATGTTAATACTTTTATTGGAATACATACCACGTTTGCTTTGACATAACCAAGAAGTTGCATATTCCAGTAAAGCATATTCTTTGAAGTTAAATACAATCACACGTGAAAAAGCACACACAACAAAAATAAACCTGGGAGACCAGGACAAGAAACACAGGAAAGAGAAACAACAGATAGGAACCAAGGGTCCAGGGAAACAGGGGTCAGGGAGACCAGGGAACTCGGAAACCAGGAAGTGAGTAAACCAAACACCAAGAGTAAGAAAAAGAAACAACAAAAAAACCCGGGAACAAAAAACAGAGAAACACCGCACACAGGGCAAAAAACAAGTTCAGCGTTCTGTCACGGATGCCGGGAGTGACTTCCCATGGAAAGCCAGGAATTCTGCTGAGTGACCCGCTCACAGGCACGGATGTCGGGAGTGGCATCCCGCGGTTAGAATAGGAGAACAGAAAAAAAAGGCCCAAAGCGGTGCGGGAGAACACAAGGCGCCGCTGGCGAGGTCAAAGATTGGCTCAGCTTTCCGTCACGGATGTCGGAGGGGGATGCCGTGGAATGGCCAGGAGAGCAATAAAGACCCTGTGCGCAGGGGTAATGATGCTGACTCAAGTTGTATATCTTTGTTCATTTGATTCAATCTCCATCACTGCACCTTCTTAGTATGACTCTACTCTAAAAACGCAAAACCCTACCAGAGAGCAGTGATACTCAGAGAGCCAGCTAGCAGTCAACCAGAATGTGTTTGTGCTGTGTGACTGTCAAATCTTGTCATATTCACCAAGCTGACTACTTTACATCACGTCTGTAACAAGGACCTAAATAATGGTAACTTGTTTTGGAAGCATAGCTAAAGAAGAAAATTGCAAGGAAACAAAGGTTATGTTACTGTTGAGGTCCTACAATATCTTCTAAAGAAATACACACTGGAAAAAGACTTGGGCAAGACTAAAGTAACAATGAGCCTGATTGGTGATTGCTTTGAAGTGCACACTTTGTTACACCCTGCTTAGATTAACTTCAGCAATGCAAAATTGCTCTAAATATAGAAATTACAAATCACAGGGAAAACTCATTCATGACAGGAGGCAGTAATCAGAAAACAGACAATAGACACCTAGCAGAAATTAAACAAAGGTCATAATGATAAGACACTCAAGATCCACACAGATACTCATTATAGGTTTATGTGCCAACCTGCTCCGCAGTGAGAATGTTTATATCAGACAGATGTAGACTTATGCAAAAACATGTGCAAAACAAAAAGCTCACATCCACTTTTCAGTGTGCTAACTGCTACAGTAGTGATCAGAGCATACTGGTATTCGAAACCAGCATTTGGAAACCTTACCAGAGAATGGAGAGAGGTGACATGCGGGTGTCACAAAGGCTTAAAAGCAACAGGCTTCATTGAACAGTATCATAACACGTGATGCGTGCAACGCAGATGTATTTCCCCTCGTAATGTTCTGGAATTTAAGAGTTGTGGAAGTTGTTTTTTATGAGATATCTGGTTAGCATTGTTAAATAATTCTAAATAAAACTAAAAAAAAGTCACTTATCAAAATATAAAAGATGCAAAACTGAAAAAGCTAAAGGACAAAAACTGAAAACTGACAATATTTGAATAAATGCTATGCAAGGATAACTATTATTAGGGAGTATAGCACAACCAGTAAAAGAACACAGGACAGTATGGTACATAGGCTGTATATAGTTTTTTTTTCACTGAAGAGGTTTGAGGGAAACTTGATAACACAATTTTGCTTGGTGCTTCCCCTCTTTTTCCTGAAACCAGGAATGACCTTTTCCATTGTAGGTGGTAATATCCCCCTGTTAATCCACAAAAGCCCAGGATTTTTTGCCTCAGGAGAGCAGCCTTGTTGGGTATATAGAGAACTGGAAATGTCAAAACTATAAAGACCCAGAAAAAAGGTTATGTTTTGAGCTCAAATCCCATCGTTGTTCAGACATTTACTACATGGATCCTGACTTTGATGGATTCTATCCAGCTGTTCTATGCTAATGGCATTATCACAAGGCAGCTAACTGGCCACTGCCCTTCCAATCTCGGACTTAGAAGCTTAACAGTGGTAGTGAACTGTCACCAGTCACAGAGAAACAGCGTGGGGTGGCTTTTTCACTCAAATCAATCACCTTTATCTGCAGTGAACAAAACGAAAATGGACTAACATTTGTTTGGCATGCAGTCAATCTGCATAATGAGGTCTCAGCTAGCCCAAGATTTTTATTTTATTTGATTAAGAGAGGACAGAATGACAGCCGGCTCACAGTTTGCTGCAGCCTCTCATTAAATGAATCCTGACCTGACAGGGTGCCTTTGTGTTTCACAGTGAAACAGTGTAAGTTCAAGGTTTCAAATACTTTATTGGTATTGTACTCAAATTTGCAAGCTTTAAATTGCTCAGCACTGTGATTGAGGATAACTAACAGCCTTTTTTACAGAGTTGTTTAGCTAGATGTTCATTAAATCGCAAGTCCCAGTTTGATTGGTGTCAGTGGTGGTGTCCATTTAAGGAGCACTGACACGTTGAGAGAGACAGGCTATGCTTTATATCACATGCACTTTATTTCAAGATTGAAGTTGGAAAGACATACAGAATTACCATTGCAAAAAACAGTATATGAAAATATCAGATAAACATGATCTAATAATGACATTAACAGATTTTGTAATCTAAAGTGAATACCACATGAAAACAGTATACATCCCAGAGAGGTAGTGTGCAAATAACCTGAAACAGCCACAGTTTTTGAAAACTGCATTTTTGTAGTCCATCTTTCACAGCCTGAAGGTGTTCAAAATGCTTTATTTTCAATTAAACCGAATGCCTGGAGCTTATCAGTAAAATACTGCGAGATGATATGTCAACCCTCCAGGAGTTTCTGTGCCGAGGAAATTAAGACGAATCTCCATGCGATGTAACCATGATAAGAAGGTGGGCTGAAACAAGTATTCTTTAATCACACCAGACTCCACTGTGCTATACTGGCTACACTGTAGATTAGGGTGTATTCATGTAGGTAGTTCAGGGCTGACTGGCAATGCTGAATCTGTACGTAGTTGGGAGGCATTGAAGAAAAATTGATTTGCTGTGGAAAGAGAGTATTCTTAGGCCAGGAAACAGTATTCTTCCCTGTGGACATGACTTTCTGAAAGCAATGCCCAAGCATGGTGACAGCCACATAAGTGCTACAGAAGTGTCATCTTTTAGATGAGATGTTAAACCAAGTCTGTGCCTGAGTTGGTGTGTGTTAGGAGAAAACTGAGCAGCACTCTCAGATCTTTGTCTCAGATTAGGAGTCTGGAATCCTGATTGTGACAAAGCTGAGCTCTGCTGGTATGCAGTTAGCTCCAAACGTATTCATACCTTTGATAAACCAAAACTGAAAGATGGTTTTAAATAAAAAAGAAGGACGTGAGAGTATTTCTTGTTGAAATGTTAAAAAAATGTACAGCTGCCAGTACCGAGTTTTCACAGAAACAAATCTGTCAAAAATATATATACACATTTTTTTTTATAAATCTACGATGTAGCTGGATATTTGAAATACTCCAGTAAAAAGTATCTGGTTGATCCTTTTTCAGCTTGGATGAAACAGAATGTGGTTCCTGTTGCCTGTCACTTTTAATAGGTCCAGTTACAACAGACCCGCTAACACTGGATTAGTGACTGGTCGTCTATGTAGAAACGATCTTCTGTGCAAGACTTTCCATTCTCGTGATAATCACTTAATGCTCACTTAATACTATAAGGGGCGGTACTAATACACTAAGATATAATTTTACTGAGATCCTTGTATTGTTGTGCTTTTTTCTTCAGAACTTAAATTTGCCACAATTACAATAAAAATAAATTCGTATAGTGCTCACAAAAGAGATTGTGGCACCATTACTTGCACTGAAACTGCATGCAGCATTGGTTCTATACCTGAATAGCATGAGGCTGGAGTCCAGGTTTTGGAAATACTGACTAGACCCTGAGCCAGAGAGTTCCAGTGTAATTTAGGACATAGTGATGAGATTACAACATCAAGAAAACAAAACTAAGGTCTTGGCATGACCAGCTTTTTCTCCTGACTTGCGTTCAAAAGAAAATCTGAGGGACCAGCTTGTCAAAGCCATGAACAGGAGACAATGGTGACCGTCATCCGGCATCCCACAGCAGTCTGTGCAGAGGCAGATCAGGTCTGTGCATCAACACCACCTGGAACATATTAGTCCTCAGGGAGCCTCAATCTGAGACTAACTTTGCAATGTTACCATTTGGAAAAAAACGATTATGATGTTTTCATTTGTAGCTTTTCATTTTTTGTGGTCTTGTCTGATTCCTATGTGTAAAATTATTGTTAATTGTTGA